ACACACAGCAGAGCTGCCTGGGGGAGAGGTTGGGGCCAGGGGTGGGAGCTGAAAGCCAGAGCAGATCAATCGCTTCCATCGAAGCAGCGACGTCTGCTTTTGCAAATAAAGCTCTTCCATGGAAGTCTGAGTCAGCTCTTCCCCTTCTCACGCTGCGAGACCTGAGCTGCTGCCTTCAGCCTGGTCTGAATCACCCATGTGGCAACAACCTCCTGTCAAAGTGTTGGAGCAGGGTGGGCCACCCCAGGGTGGCTCAGGAGCCCCCAGAATCAGATGCCTGAACCCCACTGGATGTGTGGCAGCAGGGCGAGCCGGGCTGGTGGGGTTACCCAGGGTCTCCAGGCCCCCCAGGCTAACGCTGCGTTCTCCCAAAGGATCATCTTCTCCACCCCTTTTGCTGTCATCTCCTACTTTCTCATCTGGTTTGTGCCAGACATCTCCAGAGGCCAAGTGATGTGGTACCTCGTCTTCTACTGCATCTTCCAGACCCTTGTGACGGTGAGTTGGGCTCTGCACATGCCAGGGCTTGTGGTTGAGGGATGGAGAGGAGGAATCCCTGCCCTCACCTCGCTGAGCTATGTGGAGAGGCAGGTTCCTATCCCTGAGATGATTCTTGTGCCATTGCAGTGCTTCCATGTGCCCTACTCGGCGCTGACCATGTTCATCAGCAGGGAGCAGAGTGAGCGGGACTCGGCCACCGCCTACCGTAAGAGTATTTCCTTCCCGTTCTCACCAGGGCTGGGGGCAGCCACTGCTCAGCTCCTTTGCTGCAGCTCTCGCTGGGGTGTGATCCTCATCCAGACACCTTGCTGGAAGGGCTGGTTTCATCACTTCTCACACCAAGGATGGTGTGTGATGAACATCGTTCAGGGCTTGAATTGCAGCTGGTCCAGTTCTTCCCATTCCCCTTCCCAGCTCCTCCAGCAGACATCCTTGTCCAGTCTGGTGAGAGCTGGGCTGATGGGGAGGTGGTCCCTGCTATGGCCAAGTGCCTGGAGCAGATGATGGGGGTCTGGGATCTCAAGTCTTCCCTCCTGCTGTGTCATACAGCAATGAGAGCACCAAGTCTTGGCCTTGCTCCCTGCCTCAGTTTCCCCAGCAGACACTCTCCTTCCTTGTGGCTTTATCACTTGGTGATTTGGAGGGAGCTGTGGGAGAGCTGGGCTGGCTCCTTTCTCCTGGTGAAGGACAATGAATCACAGCTGGGGAGGCTTTGCTGTGGAGGGAGGTTTTGCATCCATGCCCTGGCTGCCCAAGGGCTGTGCTCAGTCCCGTTGGTCTCTCCCTCCAGGTATGACGGTGGAAGTGCTGGGCACTGTGCTGGGAACAGCCATCCAGGGCCAGATTGTGGGCAAGGTGGTTACTCCCTGCATCGAGAGCCCCCTCTTCATCGGCAAGACCAACTCCTCGGTGGCCATGGAGGAGCTGAACATGACCCACGACACTGGGTCGCTCACAGACACGGTAAGTCCTGCTGGCAGCCTCTGCCATGCTCTCCTTGCCTTTATGACCAGGCTGGCTCCTGGGACAAGTCCCCCCCCTCACTGTCCCCTCTCTCTTGCACAGAGAAATGCCTACATGATCGCTGCGGGGGTCATCGGGGGGCTCTACATCCTCTGTGCTGTGATCCTGTCGGTGGGCGTGCGGGAGAAGAGAGGTGAGGCTGGAGATGTGATGGGATAATCCAGACTCGTGGAAATGCTGTGGCTTCTGCCAAGGGCTCCTTGAGAGCCTGGCTGAGCTCTTGGCCCCTTGTTTGTGGGTCAAGCACTGGAGGAGAGGGGCGAGTAGAGCTGAGGTCTGGGTGTGAGGGCTTGGGGAAGGGCAGCACTGTGGGCAGGAGGCCAGAGCATCTCCAGGGTACATTACAGCCCTGAGGACTTAGCTCTCTGCTCTGCACTGTCAGAGATAAACGTTATCTTGGGGTTTTTTCTGGCCAAGGTTGCTAGTGCCAACCAGGGCATCCCGGGGTGAGGTGATATCCAAAGTCCAGTAGCTTCTGCCCTTCCCTCCCTCTGCTTTGCGACCAGCCTGGCCATCCTCCCCCATCCACGGGGCTGAGGGACCCCTGCATGAGGGCAGAGGGGTCCCTGCTCTCATTGCCCTGACTCCGTGTAGGTTTGTGCAGGGTGCTCAGCAGCAGGCACAAGGCACAGCACCCCTTGCACCCAAGGGTGCTGTTTCAGTGGGTCTAACGATGGGCTGATTTGCTCTGCTCCCCAGAGTCCTCTGAGCTCCAGTCGGACGAGCCTGTCTCCTTCTTCCAGGGGCTGAAGCTGGTGATGAACCACAGTGCCTACATCAAGCTCATCGCCGGCTTCCTCTTCACCTCACTGGCCTTCATGGTGAGCACAGCTGGGCTTGGAGGATGGGGGAGAGGAAAGGGCAGCAGCGTGGCTTGGAGGTGGCTGTGGGATGAGCGGCATGGGGGCCAAATAAGATCCTGGTGGGTTGGGAGCATGTGAGGTGGCAGCTGAATGAGCCGGAGCTGCCCCGGGCAGAGAGGAAGGATGTGGCCTCGTGCCCTCGGGTGGGTCGGTGAATGGCCACTTTCTTCCCCTGCTCGCGCTTTGGGCGCAGCCTTGTGAGGAGGAACACGCGTCTCCAGGGTGTCTGGGGTGCCTGTCCCCCACTAACCACCGTCTGCCTCCTCCACAGCTGCTGGAGGGCAACTTTGCTCTCTTCTGCACCTACACCCTGGGCTTCCGCAACGAGTTCCAGAACATTCTCCTGGCCATCATGGTGCGTACAGCCCCGTCCTGGAGCTCCTTGGGGCCAGACTGTGGTGGGACATGTGCTATGGGATCCCTTGGGTCCTCCCCAGGAGCTGGCATGGGATGGGTGCTCCATGGGCTGAGGGGAGGGAGGCTGTGGGGCTGGGATAGTCCAATGTGCGGACAGTGACTGAGGGAGAAGGGAAGGGAGAGGAAGCTGCCAAATGTCCTGCAAAGGTTGGGCGAGTCAGTAGGAACAGTGAGACCTTTGTTCCTGTGAGAGGATGACCAGAGACGGGGGGAGACCAGGAGCCGTGGGGGCCTTTTGTCCAAATCCTGCCCTTCCCCCCAGCCTTGAGAAAAGGATCTGAGTGTTTACTGCCAGGAAGATGGAGCAAAACAGCTCCTTGAGAGCCCTTTCCAGCTTGTATCATCCCTGGGAGCCATTCCCACCCTCTCTACTCGATGGGGTGGAGAGGTCCAAGGCACCCAGGTCCCCACAGAGCCTGGCTCTTGGCCACGCTGTGCGCAGGCAACAGTGACAAGATCAGGTCCCTTCCCAGCACCGAGGATCGAGTCGGGTCCTCCCTCTGCTTGGGCAGGTGTGCTTGGCACCTCATGGGTGCCTTGAGGACAGCGGTGCTGGGTGCCAGGGTGCTCCACACTGTGGGAGGTGGTGGCCCCACACACCTGCTCCAATTGCAAGCTCTCCCTCCCGGGAGTGGAGGCAGGCGAGGGATGGGGCGAGGGATGGGGTGAGGGCAGGAGCAGGCTGTGTGCCAGCCCTGGGAGCGTGTGGAAATTGGAGGGGCTGGAAATGTGATGGGGGAGGCTGTGCCCAGGAGCTGCTCCTTGCTGGAAAGAGCTTTTTCCCCAGAGAAGAACCTGGCCAGCAAGTGACACCATGACCACTGTCTCTCCCCATAGCTCTCGGCCACCTTGACCATTCCCCTCTGGCAGTGGTTCCTCACCCGCTTTGGGAAGAAGACGGCTGTCTACGTGGGCATCTCGGTGAGTGGGTCCCCTCAAGCACAGAGGGGCACGTGAGAACGGTGTCCACATGGGGTGAGCAGGGCTGTGACACCCCGAGAGGGCCCAGAGCTGGGCAGGGGCTGCTGCTGCTGATGATGATTTGGTGCCTGTCCCTCATCCTGCTATTTGTGCTGTCACAGATGTGGCCGAGGCCAGCAAGAAATGGCCACTGCTGCTTCCCTGGCTGTCCCCGCGGTCGGAGGGCTGGCCCGCCCGGGAGGGAGGGCGAAAAGCCAAGGAGTCTGGGTCAGGCAGTGCTGACACAACCTGCTTTCTGTCCCCTATCCAGTCTGCCATCCCCTTCCTCATCATGGTGGCTGTGCTGGACAGTAACCTCATCGTCACCTACATCGTGGCCGGTGCAGCTTGTGGCCGTTGCAGCTGGGATCAGCGTCGCAGCCGCCTTCCTCCTGCCCTGGTGAGTGTGAGGTCCTGGTGCTCTCGGTGCTGCACACCCAGTGCTGGGCAAGGTGCTTCCAGGGCCTCCTGGAGTGGTTAGAAATCCTTGGGAAGCCTTTTTACAATGTTTTCAGACCAGGTTGGGCCTCTTGGAGGGAAATCCTCTCAGCAGGGAGAGGAGATGCTTTGTTGGCTCTGTCCTAGTGTTCACCGTTCTGCTCCCCGCTCAGGTCCATGCTCCCGGATGTCATAGATGACTTCAAGCTGCAGCACCCTGACTCCCATGGCCATGAACCCATCTTCTTCTCCTTCTATGTCTTCTTCACCAAGTTCACCTCTGGGGTCTCCTTGGGTATCTCCACACTCAGCCTAGAGTGAGTTTTATTGGGGGAGCTGAGGAGGGAGGGAGGGAGACCAGTCTGGTGCCTCTGCATCCAGGCATCTCCGCTTTCCAGGGGCTGGAAGTGAGGTGGGGGAGGTCTAAATCCAGCTGTGGCTCCACAAACCTCTACCTGCAGGAACAGGTTTGTCTCCTACAAACCCACTTTCCTTTACCTGAAGGTCCCTTTCTGTCCCCAGCTTTGCAGGGTACCAGACCCGGGGCTGCTCCCAGCCCAGTGAGGTGAATTCCACCTTGAAGATGCTGGTGTCGGCCGTGCCCGTGGGGCTGATCCTGCTGGGCCTGCTCCTGTTCAAGCTGTACCCCATCGATGAGGAGAAGCGGAGGAAGAACAAGAAAGCTCTGCAGGACTTAAGGTGAGCAGCAGCTTGTGCTATGGAGGAAGCAAGCACGGCATGCCAGCAGGGTGTGTGGGGGAAGGATCAGGCCCAGGCGGGTTGGGACACACCGTGACTTGCGCAGGAAAAAAAAAAGGTGGGGTGAGGGAAGGGCTGATTTGTTTTCCCAATCCCGACTTCCAAAGAGATGGCGTGAAGTGTTTGAGATCAACGGGGAACCCGCCCCAGTTGCTAAAGAAAACTTGTTTGGGGACTGTGTGAGGTGGAGACATCCTTCTCAAGCCCTTCCAAGGCTCCTCTGCTCCAAGGCAGAGATCTGCTTGGAGGCAGGGCTTGCTCCATGGCTCACTCTGTGCCTCCTCCCCAACCCTTTGCCCGCAGGGAGGAAAGCAACAGCAGCTTGGAGTCGGACAACACAGAGCTGGCCAGTATCGTGTGACCCTGGGCTGGGTCCATCCGCTCACACCGGGGCTTTCTGAAGGACTCGGCCCCTCCGGGGCTGGACCAGCCTCGTGCTGCTGTAGGTGTGCACCATGGAGGAACACCTGGGAGAAGCCGTGCAGAGCATCCACCGACTTGAACGCAAGATCTGTGCCGGTCTTGTGCCTTCCACGGGATCCACAGAGCGCTGGTAGTGTACATTACACGAATTGACCCTGTGGTACTTGTGTGCCTGACGAGAAACAAGCGCTGGTCCCTGCTGGGTCCTGGAGAGTAGAAAAGCCCGGAGTTGGGATCCTTTTCCTCGTAACACTCGTGCCCGTTGCCCACCCGTGGGCCCGGGGGTAATGGTTAGTGTACATTACACTGTCAATGTGACCGCGCCAAGGACGTGAGCTCACCTCTGCTGTCTGTACATATGACACTAATTTGGAAAGCTGTTATCATTTTTTTTTTTTTATATAGAGCTTAATTAACTTAATGATGTAAATACGAAACTATTTCCTATTTGTATATATCTGTACAGAAACCAAACGCGAGGACCTATTAATATTAATTTACATAAAAATGGGAGAAGTCAGCAGTGTGGGTGTAGAGGATTTTTTTTTGGTTGGCTGCTTTTTTTTTTTTGTGGATGTCAGCAAGCCCAGGATCCCTTTCCATGCCACAGGCTGCAGGATTGACTTCCCCGGAGCTGAAGGCACAGGAATGCTGTAATCCATGCAGGCAGCCGTGCCCGGCAGCCCCGTACCCCCGTGCAGCTCCTTGCTCGGTGCTTGTGCTGCAGCAGCCTAACAAAGGCTTGATTATTTTCCTCTCTCTTTCAAGAGAGAACAGGGGGGTGGAGGGAGGAATGAAATCAAAGCGCTGGCTGTGGAGATTGTGAACCCGGGGTTGGAAACAGGAGAGGCAGCTGGGGAGCAGTGAGAAAGGGAATGTGGGTTGTGGGTGACACTCAACACTTTCTCCCAGGGCGGAGCGCCGTGCTGGGGTTAATCTTCGTGGATATTTATACTTTGCTCTCACATTCCCTTCTCCAGCAGAACTGGGGTGAGCCCTGCCCTCCCTGTGCTCCTGCGGCAGCAAGTGCAGGGCAGAGGGGGAAAGTGGGTCGGAGTAAGTACAGGGAAGGTTCACCAGGGATGAAGCAGCCACCCGTGCAGTTGGGACAAATGCCTGGTGTGTGAGGATTCTAACTCTGCTGCTCTGTCCCCATGGCCACTGTGCTGGGGACAGACAGGGGCTGTTGCCTTTTGTTAAGCACATTTGTCACACCAAGAAATTTGTGGGGTCAGTGCCCGAGTCGAGAGCGGCCCCTCTGCACGGGGGGGGCTGGGGGGAAGGATGGCTCCTCCTTTGTTCCCTGTTTGGGTACAAAGCACTGCAATGAGGATGGGGTTTTAAAAATAGCCAAAGGGATTAGACCTTAGCTGGGAATGCTTAACTGGGCCCCCAGTCTGCCACTGTGGCGGGGGTCATGGCAAGAAGCAAAAGGGATGATGCAAGGTGGCTTTGTGCTGAGCAGAGGGCAAGAGGCAGCGTCAGCATCGCCCGCCTGGAGCTTGCAGCCAAGGAACAAGGGCAGGACAAAATGAGGGGGACAAAGCCCCTGTGGCAGGG